GGAGGGGTTTAGGGTATTTTTTTGGGGTGCGGGGGGGGTTTAGGGTGGCGTTCCCCACCTCCAGCGCCTTGACGTGCCGGGAGCGATCGTCCTGGGAGCGCTTCTTGGTGTCCATCTCCTGCTCCAGGTTGTGGAGCCGCTGGAGAAGCACCTCCTTGTCCAACTGGGCGCTCTCCCGCTCCGCCTGGCTCTCCTGCAGCGCCTGCTTCAGCCGGGACACCTGCGGGGGGGGGGGGAAAAGATGTCCCTCAAACCAGCCATGGCCCTGGGCACCCCATGGAAGGGTGGAGAGGACATCGCGGGCACCCCCCGACCCGCCAGCCTTGGCCCCCCTACCTCGTCCTGCAGCCGCCCCACGTTGAGCTGCATCTTCTCCACCTCAACCCCCCGATCCTTGGCTTGTTTTTGGGAATCCGTGATCTCCTTCCGCGACTTCTCCTTGAACTCCTCCAGCTGCGACCTCAGGGCGGTCAAGGAGCTGTGGGACTCCTCTGTCATCTGCTCCAGCTGCGGCGGAGCGGGGACGGGTCAGGAGCTGGGGACCACCCCGCGCCCCCCGTCCTTGCTGGTGGGACCCCAGGTGGGAGAAGGTACCCGTGGGGCGGTATATAGGGGGCTGGGGGGGATATTTCTGGGCTTGGGAGCATCACGGTGAGGGGTGCCAGTCCTGCCAGAGCTCTGGATGGAGCTGCTTGGGGATGGGTAGGGGACAAGATGACCCTGGGACACCAGGGGATGCTGATCCCTAGGGACAGGGTGGTTTTATGGAGTCTCCAGGGCCACCAGGGAAGCTGATCCCTAGGGATGGCGTGGTTTTATGGAGTCTCCAGGGCCACCAGGCCTACCTCGTCCTGCAGCCGCCCCACGTTGAGCTGCATCTTCTCCACCTCAACCCCCCGATCCTTGGCTTGTTTTTGGGAATCCGTGATCTCCTTCCGCGACTTCTCCTTGAACTCCTCCAGCTGCGACCTCAGGGCGGTCAAGGAGCTGTGGGACTCCTCCGTCATCTGCTCCAGCTGCGGCGGAGCGGGGACGGGTCAGGAGCTGGGGACCACCCCGCGCCCCCCGTCCTTGCTGGTGGGACCCCAGGTGGGAGAAGGTACCCGTGGGGCGGTATATAGGGGGCTGGGGGGGATATTTCTGGGCTTGGGAGCATCACGGTGAGGGGTGCCAGTCCTGCCAGAGCTCTGGATGGAGCTGCTTGGGGATGGGTAGGGGACAAGATGACCCTGGGACACCAGGGGATGCTGATCCCTAGGGACAGGGTGGTTTTATGGAGTCTCCAGGGCCACCAGGGAAGCTGATCCCTAGGGATGGCGTGGTTTTATGGAGTCTCCAGGGCCACCAGGGAAGGATCGGTCCCAACCAGCCCTGCAGGAAAACCGGATCCATGCCCAAAGCCCCCCCAGATCCAGCCAGGGGAGACCCTCATCCCACAGACACAGAGACCGGGTGTCGCGGCACACGACGTCCCATGGGATGGGGGGGTCCAAGGGGTGGAAGCAGCCCAGGAGACCCCCCCAACCTCTTTGTTCAGCTTCTCGGTGGTGCGATCCAGCAGGCGCTTCTGCTCCTCCAGCTCGCTCTTGGCGCGCTTGAGCTGCTCCTTCTGCCGCTGCTCCTCCTGGAAGGAGCTGCTCAGCTCCTGGTGCTCCTGCTTCAGCCGGGCCAAGCCACGCTGAGCCTCCTCCATCCGCGTCTCCAGCGACCTCTTGGCCATCAGCAGCTCCTGCTCCCGCTCCGTGGCTTCTCCCAGCGACTCCTCCATCTGCCGGCGCTCTGCCTGCGGGGAGGGGGCTCCTCAAGGCTCCATCCCTTGGTCGGGGAATGGCTCAGGGCAGCTCAGGAATGGCCCTACCTCCAGTTTGGTGACCTTCTCCTTGAGCCGTGCCTGGGAGCCCTCCCAGTTCTCCCCCAGGCGCTCGTACTCCTTCAGCTGCGTCTCCATCCCCAGGACCTTCCTCCTCAGGTCATCGTTCTGGTCCTGCACCTCCCTCAGGCTGGACTCCACCGTCTTCCTCGCCTGCTCCGAGGCCTCCCGCGCGCTCTCCAGGGACGCCTTCGCCTGCAACGTCCCCACAAAACGGGGTGGCCCCGGGTCCAGCCGCTGAACTGGGGTGGGGGGTGGGTCTTGGGGGGCAATTTGGGCTTGCATCCCTGGGGATGGCTGGATGACAACCCCCTTGGGCTCACCTCGGTGGCCTCGTCCCTCTCCTCCCGGAGCTGCTGCAGGTCCCGGCGGTACCGCTCCAGCTCCTCGTCCCGGCTGGTGGCCTCCTCCTTCATGGTGCCCTTCAGGGCCGCCAGCTCCCGCTCCCGCTCCCGCAGCCGTTCCTCCCGGCTCTGCTTCTCCGCCGCCAGCTCCCGCTGCGCCTCCCGCGCCTCCCGCAGCTCCTGCCACGGACAGGATGGGACGGGAGGGCGTCAGGGACCCCCAGTGCTTCATGGGGGTACCCCCTGGTGTCTCCTCCTTTGTCATCCCCACCTTCTTGAGGGCCTCCATCTCGCCGGGGTCCACGGCGTTGCTCCGGGCCTGGTCGGCGTCCTCCCGGGCGGCGTTGAAACGCTCCTGCAGCTCCCGCAGCTCCTCCTCAAACTCCTCCCGCTCCAGCTTCACCTGCAGCAGCCTGTGGAGGGGCAGGGTGAGACCACCCCAACCCCTCCTCGTGTCCCCCCAGCCCTCCCAGAGAGGGACACCCATCCCAGCCATCACCTTCCTCCCCAACACCCAGGGGAGGAAGAGGAGGAGCAGCCCCATCCCAGCTCCAGACCCATTTTAACAGGGTTTGGAGTGAAGATGATGGGTGGTTGGGAGCATCTGGACCTCCCCCCAAAATCTCCTCGTGCCAAACCGCGGCCCCGGCGCTTACTCCTGCTTGGTGGCGCGGAGCTCGTCCTTGTTCTTCTGGAACATGTCCCTCCAGTGCCCCGTCTCCTCCGCGCTCTCCTCCAGCTCCCGCTGCAGGTTTCTCACCACCGTGTTGATCTTCTGCCGCTCCGACTCCAGGCTGGCCTGGTCCTGGATCCAGGCATCGAGCCCTCGCATCCTGCTGGGATGCTCCAGCGACACCAAGTTCCCCCACCTTGCCCCAAACCAGCCCAGGGAACCCACGCAGGGACCTGAGGAGCCCCCAAATCTCCACAAACCATCTCCACTCCCCCTCTCAGCATCTCCATCCCGGGGCAGAAAGACCCAGGACAGATGGATGCTCCGATGGGGACAGGACACAAACCCTGTTCCCATCTCAGGACCGTTTCAAGGGGGAATTCTGTGGCGCCGACCCCAAAGGAAGACCCTCCCCAGCCACGGGCAGCAGATCCTCATCCCAACCTGTGTCATGCCCTCCATGCTGCGCCGCAGCTGGTCCATGTCGCTCTGGTACTGCTGCCGGACGCGGTCCAGCTCCTTGTCGTGACTGGCCACCTCCTCCTTGAGGGCTCCCTTCAGGGCCGTCAGCTCCCGCTCCCGCAGCCGCAGCTGCTCCTCCTGACGCTGTTTGGAGCCCAGGGCCTCCTCCAGCTCCTCCCTGGTCTCCAGCAGCTCCTGGGGGAATCACAGAATCAATCTTCTAGGTTGGAAGGGACCTTAAAGATCATCTTGTCCAACCGTCAACCCAACTGACAAAAATAGACACCCACTCAACAAACAAGGAGCATCATGCCCAGGGAACCCACGCAGGGACCTGAGGAGCCCCCAAATCTCCACAAACCATCTCCACTCCCCCTCTCAGCATCTCCATCCCGGGGCAGAAAGACCCAGGACAGATGGATGCTCCGATGGGGACAGGACACAAACCCCGTTCCCATCTCAGGACCATTTCAAGGGGGAATTCCGGGGCGCCGACCCCAAAGGAAGACCCTCCCCAGCCACGGGCAGCAGATCCCCATCCCAACCTGTGTCATGCCCTCCATGCTGCGCCGCAGCTGGTCCATGTCGCTCTGGTACTGCTGCCGGACGCGGTCCAGCTCCTTGTCGTGACTGGCCACCTCCTCCTTGAGGGCTCCCTTCAGGGCCGTCAGCTCCCGCTCCCGCAGCCGCAGCTGCTCCTCCTGACGCTGTTTGGAGCCCAGGGCCTCCTCCAGCTCCTCCCTGGTCTCCAGCAGCTCCTGGGGGAATCACAGAATCAATCTTCTAGGTTGGAAGGGACCTTAAAGATCATCTTGTCCAACCGTCAACCCAACTGACAAAAATAGACACCCACTCAACAAACAAGGAGCATCATCACTAAACCATCCCTCCCAGCACCACATCAACCCGGCTTTTGAACACCTCCAGGGATGGGGCCTCAACCCCCTCCCTGGGCAGCCCATTCCAAGGGCTGAGAACCCTTTCAGTGAAAAAATTTTCCCTAATATCCAGCCTGAACCTCCCCTGGGGCAACTTGAGGCCATTTCCTCTCGTCCTGTCGCCTGGGACTTGAGAGAAGAGACCGACCCCCATCTCTCTACACCCTCCTTTCAGGGAGTTGGAGAGAGCAAGAAGGTCTCCCCTCCTCTTCTCCAGGCTGAACACCCCCAGCAGGAAGGGGACAGCCTGGCTGGGTGGCAGCCAAAGGGGGGCAGGGGGATGCTCAGCCCCCCCCCTCCCAGTGCCATCCATCCTCACCGTACCTTGTACAAGGCATCGCTGTCCGGGGACGCGCCGGAGCCCTTGCGCAGACGGTCCAGCTCCCGGTTGGTGGCCAGGAGCTGCTCCTTGCAGTGGCCCAGCTGCGTCTCCGCCTGCTCCTTGGCTGTTCTCACCTCGTTCAGCCTGGAGGGGAGGAGGGGGGAGGCGTGGGGGACCCCTTCACAGCCTGGCAGGGACCATCTGTCCCCCTGGGGACCCGGCCACATCCGCACCCCGAAGGGCTGGGGGCTGCAGCACCCACCCACCAGCACCTACAAGGTGGGGGGCTCGTCCTGGCACGACGAAGGGGACAGGGATGGCGGGTGACAGCCACCCACCCTGTGCTCCCCCAGGTCTATCTGCCTCTCCAAATGCCCCCAGCACCCTCCATCAGCCCCCCACCACTCTCCATCAGCCCCCCAGCACCCTCCATCAGCCTCCCAGCACCCTCCAAATGCCCCCCAGCACCCTCCATCAGCCCCCCAACACCTTCCACCAGCTCTTACTCTTGCAGACTCCTCTGCAGCTCCTGGGTTTTCTTCTCCAGGGCCCCCCGCAGCCGCTGGCTCTCCCCCTCCGCCTCCCGCAGCCGGGACTCCGTGGCCCGAGCGGAGCCGCTCCTCCCCGAATCCCGGCCCAGCTCCAGCTTCTGCCGGAGCTGCAGGAGAGGGGGACACCGGGGGGGTCCATCACATCCCCTCCCGGGGGGGCACAGCGGCCA